TAGATAACAGTGACTTCAGCACCAGGCAACCCCATTACTGCTGGGAACCAATTTTGTCCGAGTGGATTTACAAACCATTACAGTTCAAACTTCCTTCACTTTCTTCCCAACCAACCACACTGAACAAAGAGGAAATTACGCTCAACTCCGAGGCATCTGGAATTGGCCACTGGAGAGAACAGGGCACTGAATTAGATGGACGTCGAGTCTGTGCCAGGACAGCACTGCCTACGCTCCTGTCACCAGCATAAAGCACTTTTTCCTTCAGTGGAGACCAGCTCTTCTAGGAAGGGGGAAAGAAAATACCTGCCTGCATGATCAGAGCCCCAGCACAACAAACCCTGACCCATGCCTAACAGCTCAGCCCCGCACCATTCCCTTTGGGCCTTACCACCTGAGTCAAATTAATAGCAAGGGCAAAAAGTGGTTCTCAGAAGTGTCAGAAAACAAACAGTGCCCGTCAGGGGTGGGACTATGAAACACTTGGAAAACAACTGTGATTCTCTCTCTAGCACAGGTCAGGGGAGCCCCCCTGGACAGATCTTACTATTCCTCCTCTTAGCTTACAAAAGTAATAAATTAGTTCTGAAGATTTGGATCCAGTCCTTTCTATTTACAAAAGCCCTCAAACCTGTCACAAAAATGCCGTTACCACAAAAAACCCAAAAACCTGCCATTGCTCTACAAAAACATGGACATCTTTCTAGTTAGTACAAAAAGCCTTTTATAAGTACAGTCATTGGGTCATACTCACACCCCGCTGGGGATGACATTAAAATTGTTTCGGCTGCACATGGTCTCACAGAGGTAAAAGTCCAACACACGGGGTACAGAAGGAAGAGTGCAGCACAACTGGGCGGTGTACCAGTCTCTGACATGGATGCGCTTCTGTGAAAGTTCATCCCCCGCGGAGTCCGCGCAGAGCTGAAACCCTCTCACCTTGCTACATGTTCACGTGCAGCCAGGTTTTTCCTTAAGCCATGGCAATTACTCATCCTTGGCTTTTTTGTGAGTGCAATCGTGCAATTCCTGCTGGCTTGCTTTGGGCATCCCAGCATCTGTGCACTCATGTTCCTGGATCCCGGTGGTCTCCCACAACAGCAGCCCAGAAGAGGCTTGGGTTGGCCGAGGGGAGCCCACCGCTTCCTCGCCACTACAGGCCCTGTGCAAGGGCCCAGCAGCTGGTGAGGGCTCTTGCCACGCACTGAGCTCTCTCTGCTCCCTGCTGTCTCTCCGCTGGGAGGAGACACTCTTGTATTCCACTGCTGTAGTCCCGTCTGTTTGCTCAGTGTAAACCCTGGCCATCAGCTGGATGGGATAAGACGCTTGGCACTCCCACTCAGCAGCATTAGTCTCCTGTTCATCGCTCTCTGACCCTTGAACTGCTATCTGGGGCACCTGTGTGGGCTTCTGCTCTGGTTTGGGAGGCTCTGAAGGGCCCCCAGACACTGAATGCTGCCTGGTCTCCACCCAGGAAGCTGTGTGAGGAACACGTCTCCACAGCACGCACTCGCTGTTCTGCTCGGGCTCTGCTTTCACGCTATCCTCGCTGACTGGCAGCAGCTCGGGCTCATCAAAACTCACTTCTTGGACAGCCTCTTGCTTCTTAAACGAGTCCCGGCGCTCTGACAGGTTCAGCCTCCTCATAATGACAAGCTCCTGGTCTCGGTCATGCCTCTCCCCTGGCCAGTCCCTCAGCCGGGGGGTCCCTGGGTAGGCCCCTGCACCATGCTCCCCAAGCAGAGCCTGGACAGGACACTCACCCCCTCCCAGCTCCTCCCCTGCCCCATCACTAGGAGGCATTTCCAGCGTGAGCTTCCGACTGCTGACCGTTTTCTTTTCTGCCATGTAGCTGACTATTTTCTCTGCTGACTGGACTCGCTTTAGCAGAGGGGACCTGGGGCCTTCAGCACTCCTGGGCCGAGACACTTGCCTAACAATGGTGGGGGGAGACAGCGTCTTGCCCTGGAAGGAGTGAACATTTCTGGTGTAACTTGGCAACGGTGATGAAGACCTCTGGGGAGAAGGCGGCTGCGGGACCGAGGCGGGGGTACATGCAAGGGGGGATGGGGGGATGCTGCTGGTGGACTTCCGGCGCCCCACCTTGTAGCGCTGACCACTGAGCTTTGGTGCTAGCCCGTGCAGAGAGCTTGGTCTGATGTGTCCTGCGGGAGAGGTGGGAGTGCTGGAGGAGGGGGACGTGCTCTGTGGGGAGACAGCATCTGCCAGAGAGAAAAGAACAATATGCTTGGTTAAGATACTGTGTTCACGTTGCTGAGGACGCCGCAGGGCTGGGACCAGATGCCAGTCAGAAATTCCAGCATCAGCCTGAGGAATAGCAGGCCTCAGCCAGACCGCAGCTAACTCGGGCTGCTCCTTCGAACCCGGCTACCTTCTTCTAGGGTGCTGCAGCCTCCAAGTTACACAGGGACCCAGGTCCAGCTGCCTTTTGGTTGGCGCAGGCTTAAAGCATCTATCACATGCCCCAGAGCAAACCAAACAGACCCAGAAACACTCCCAGGCCTCTGCCCAACTGCAGGAACAGCCAACAGCCTGGGAGCACAAGCACTAGTCATGTCCACTTCGCACTCACACATTTCAGCCAGTCCCAGAGGCAACCTGCTGGGTGATGAGCAGAACCAAGGCCTACCTGGTGGGAGGTCTGGAGCAGGACTGCGGCAAGGAGTTGTGGGGCCTGGAGACAGGCTGTGTGTGGGAGACCCTGGGAGGCTCTCACTCGAGGACAGGGAGTGATGGAGGCCAGAGGAGAAGCTGCGGCTGGTGTGCAGAACAGTTGACTGCTTGGAGATCTTCTTGAAGAGGCATTTCCTCCTTCAAGAGAGCAGGGGACAGGGTTTACATGGAGGGACTCACAAGAAAGAAACCACACAAGCTGCTCACAGACTCCCTGGTTCATCAAGTCAAACTTCCACCAACTGGCCCTTAAGAAAGACTCTGTGTGCAGCCTGCATCCAGCCAAGCACCTGTGCACAGGGTGCCAGGGAGAGGAGGTCACACGTCACCATTTCCAGCAGAAGGTGTCCCATGGCAGACCACACAGAGCTAGACCTGCCACGGAGCCCCAGCACAGACCTCACCATTAAGAGTCACTGCAGCCATTAATAGCAAGGGCCTTTTTCTACAGGCGATGCGGTGCTCTCCACCACAGCCTGTCCTGGGGGGGCTTTGATCAGTCTGCCCTAGGGCTTGCTGTCATGTGGCACTACCAGATACAATGGTTTTAAAGAGCTGAGTGACACCCCACTGCTAAGGATGAGCCTTTCGCTTGCATACAAGAAGGGGGTGGCCCAGCATCAGGGACGGGATGGTGCTGGGCCCTTCTGCTAGTAACAAGACATGGCACCTGCTCGCTAGGAGCGTGCTAGGGTGCAGCAGCATTTGCCTTCCCTGGCACCATTTCATGCTCCCGCTCTGTTTGTACTCACCGGTCCTGGCTGTCCCTTTTCCTGCTTTTCTTGCTCCTTCTGGCCATCCGGGTCTTGGAGCTGTTTTTCCGAGCAGGGCCGATTTTAATGGACGTGTTCTCCAAGGCAGTAGTTCGTAGTGCTACCTTGTTGCCGCTCTGAGATGCAGAAAAGGAGTTGTGACCGGTACAACAAGAGCACGTTTAAATTGGATTCCAAGGTCTGCAGGGACCACAGCCATCACCCAGTCCAGCCTTCAAGATACTGCGTGACGTGGTGCAGGCAGCCTGCCAGGCAGAACTGGCATAAGGCTCTGCGGTGCCACATATGACGCTCTGGCACTACTGCTCAGATCCCCAGTCCTCGCTGGACCAAACACTCCGTCCCTGCAAGCGTGCTAGCAAGACGGCTTTACATCCATTTGCTTTCTCTGGATCAGCTTCCGAAGTGCAACTCTGCCTTGGAGGTCCCACCACGATTGACCACATCAAGGCAGAGCTTCCTTAAGCCACTGGAGGTAAACGCACGTCTTGCCAGCACTGAATGAGAAGAGTGAAGAGTCTGGACCACAGAGGAAAGGACCCCTCTCCCCAGGGCCCAGGCAGGAGAAGCACAAAGCCCCCAGCCACCCTGCTCGTATTTCCTCTTGGAAACCTGCCTCAGGACAGGGGGATGCCTCTGCGACAGAGCTGGGTCTGTCCTGTAATAATTCACACACAACTGCTAGCATGGACCTGGCCCTTGGGATATTTCCTGGTTTAGCCTACCGGTGGGCTCCAAGGAAAGACAAGCAGGAAAAGAAAAGGACAGCTCAAGATCAGCCACCTGTCAGCAAACACAGGTCTCTTACCTTCAGGAGTAACTCCACAACATCCCTGTGAACTAGCCCCAGGACGGACTCCCCGTTCACATGTGTGATGAGATCACCCGCTTTCAGCCCTGCTTCCTGGGCAGGGCTCCCATCTTCCACGCTCTGGAATAGAAGAGCCAGGAAGTAGTACTTGGAGGCAGCCTGAAGGTCATTCACACAGTGCCTGGGTGCACAGATCAGTGCAGAGAGGCACTGGCCTCTGAATAGTCTGCTAGCTCCTCTTCCCTCTCCCCTTGGGGCTCGTCGCAAGGCTTCCTCTACCTTTGCATTTACCTCCTGCCCTTGTCAATGTGCTGCTAAGGGTGGAGAGCACAACCCACCTCCACACCCTTCCCGCACAGAGTTTCCCGTCACTCACCCACACCATGTGATGGACCGCGTACACATCGCTGTCCCCCATGTACACACGGATGGCACGCAGGGTGAAGCCGTATTTCTTGCCGGAGCTGTGGATGGTGATGGGCGGTCGCAGGCTGGTGATGGTGAGGGAGGAATCTCGGCTCGGGGAGGAGTCACGGGATGAAGGGTTGGAAGAGAGAGAGCGGGGGGAGATGGGGCTCATCAGGGCTCCACCGCCACAGTCATCTGTAAGCAACAGAGAGCACTTTGTTTCCCCTGTAAAAACCCTGCACGGACCCCTGGTTTGCTAACCTGGCTGCTATTAAATGGGACAGGGCTGAGATGTGGCTCACAAGCAGGAAGAACATGCCTGAGAGGATGGCCTCAGTCAGCTCACAGAGGAGGCAGAAAGACCCTGAGCCACAAGTCACTCGTGTAGTTTTCCATTGACTTATCGCAGCTGGGGCCTAGAGTGGACTTGTCAGCTCCCCTAACAGCCACATCTGCGTCCCCGCTCTTGCGTGCTGCCATGGCCTCCGCTGCGGGCAGCATCAGGGTAGCTGGGCAGGGGCTGCCTGCTAAAAACCAGGCTCATTCCTCAGTGACACCTCAAGCTGCAGGAGGCCTGAGGCAGGCAGCTCCACGGGCACAGCAGCTGGCACAGGAGGAGCAGGGGGTTACAGCCCAAAGAACCAGATGTGCCTCACGGCTCCTCAGAAAGTCAGATGCAGCAGCCACTTCCCACTCACCTGAGGTGATGATCAAGGACAGGGCTGAGACCGAGGCAGACTTGGGCACTCTGCTTCCCACGGATGCCCTCTGCCTCTCTGAAGCATCCTTCTGGCTGCCCAGGCGGCGGCTGGCTCCAGGCTCCAGGCCCCGGGGGCTGGAGTTCTTGGTCCCGGTGCTGTTGCTCCGCAGGCGGATGCGGTTCAGATTGACAAGATCAGCTGGATAGAGGGAGAAGGAGCCAGCAGGTCAGTGCTTCTGGAGGGCAGAGAGCAGCCCTGGTCAATGGCCAACCTGAGGAAAACTGCTCGCTGGAGCAGCACTGAGTCTAAGAGCTACTGCCCTTAATGCCACATCCCTCTTCAGCACCAACCTCTTCCCACAGGCACTGGCCGAGCTCAAGACTGCTGCATAGCAAGCACCTGGCTGAGGTCACTTTGCTCCAGTGGGTTACTCCCATGTTCCCTGAGGCTGCCCCTGCCCTCTCTGAGCAGGATCAACACTCAAGAGCTCTCTCCTGATGACCCAACATGCTGCCATGACCCAAGGGCCCGGGGCAAGGAGCTGTGCTCCAAGGAAGCTGTTGCATACCCGACAACGTGGAAGACTTTGCTGCTCCTCCTGCCCCTGCCTCAGGGTCTCCCAGCACAAACACCGGCCGCTCCCGCTTCTGTGGGCCCGGACAGGGGCTCTCATCCTCAGAGGAGAAAGCAAACTTGGGCATGGTCTCCAGGCTGTAGGTGCTGGTCAAGGTGGCCGGGCTATGGCTTCGCTCATGCCGGGAGGAGTAGGGTGTTGAGCCACAGGACGTCCATGATCGGAGCCTGGCAGTAACAGAGAGATGGTCAGGACAGCGACACAGTTTAGGCTGGAGGGACCAGAAACTGCATCACCCCGACCCACACCATCACAGTGCCACAGGGCACATCCCCACTACGTCACTTTTGCAACCACAGTGTCTTTTCCACAAGGCCGCTGCTCTGGGGCTCCACCGCCTCAGTCAGGATTTCAAAGCAGCAGCTGGGAAAAGGATTCCCTGCTACCCCATCAAACAGCCCAAAGCAATGTGCAGCCAAGAGTCCAGGGCCACCTGGAGAACGATGGCAACAGCTTGAGGCCCCACACCCTCTCCTCCCTGCTCCATGCATCTTCCTCTCCACAGAAGGACCTTGGAGCCCACATCTGCTGGAGTACCAACAAGGCTCTGCTCCCAGAAACCCAGATTCAGCCGGGCCCCCATGCATGTCCCCCCCTGCAGCTCACCCCTTACCTGGCCTCTGTGTTTGACACCCGGCTCTTCTCCTCATCTCCTGAGCTCCTGTCCCACCGTTCTGGCCTGTCCTCCTTCTCCTCACTGTGACTTCGCTCAGAAGATGAGAGGCCGAGGGCTGAGTGAGCTGCAAGGTACTCGGAGCTGCTGTACACCTGCAGGAGAGAGGCCGTGTTAGTGGGCAGCAGAGGCTGGTGACCAGGGGCTGCTGCAGGATCCCCATGGTGACTGACCGCCAGGCTACGGCTCAGCCAAGAACCCAGTCTTTACACATCATCTGCAGGGATCTCTTGCCAACCAACACGACGTGAGCCCTCTCTGAGATGGGACGTGCTAGCTGCTTAACAGTGCACAGCAAGGCCACATGCCAAGAGAGGGAGAATACCAGCCCAGTGGAAACACCGGGGAACCTGAGCAAGCAGCAGCAAGAGACAGTCCAGCAGACACGCCAGAACTAACACTTCCCCTCCTCCCACCCATTTGCAAGGTGCCAGGAGATCCATGGGGCAGACTGGGGCTCGCACGCAGGGCAGCCCCTCCAGCAACCCAGTCACATCTCTGTAGCACCAGACGGAGGGTGGCTCAGGGCTGGCTTCAAAGGAAAGAGGTCCCCCTGCTAACTTGCCACCCACCTTTCTGGAGCACACGCTGCAGCACTCCCTAAGCTGCTCCTGCAAGAAGAGCCGGCTCTCCGGGCTTTAACGTGCCTGCTGGAGTGCAGAACGCCCAACAGGGCGCTGACACCCCTGCACGCCGCCGTCAGTGTGCAAGCCCCAGGCTCTGGGGTGCTGGAGGGAAGAAGCAGCTCTCTACAAGGAGGCTGTGGCACCTGGGGTGCCTTGAGAGCCTTTCAAGGGTGCCACAGGGGGGGACACAGTGTTAGCACTGTTAGCTATGCAAACACGATTTACAGGATAAACCCAAAGATTTCAAACAGAAATCTGTGGTGTTAAAAACATTATGAATTGTTGTGGTCTAGGTTCTTTGCAACAAAATAATTGCTTTATTATTGCTCTGTAGTCAAAAATGAATGAAAACAAAGAGCCAGCATTTTCCAAGAAGGGCCTTGAGACTAAAAATGTTAAGAACCACTGTACTAAGCCCTCCCTCCTACTGGGCTCCATGGGCCACTTCCGATACCTTGCTAAAGCGGTGGGAGCATGAGGAGAACTGACCAATCTCCACAGACGACTCCTCATCATTGGTCTCTTCATCCTCAGAGTCCAAGTGGCGGTACCGCTCCGTGCGAGCTAGAAGCAAGCAGCAGCAAAAGCTACCAAGAGCAGCATCCAGCAGGCACGCCATACCCCCAACCAGCACCAGACACAGCCCCACCATGAAAACAAGTTGGGACAATGGTTTGTACAGGAGACAAGCCCAAACTGGCCTTACTGTCAAAATAGCTGGTGTCGTCCTCGGACTCCAGCTGGGGGATGAACTCTGCCTTCTGTCGCAGCAGCCCATTCCAGTCCAGGTTGTGGAAGAAGGAGTGATGCTTCACCTCGTGCACACCGCCTAGTGCCCAGCACAGAAACCTGCCGTTACAGAGCTGCCCATCGGCAAGCTCCGTGCCCCCAGAACCTCCCTAGCGCTCGCTCTGGGACGAGTCTGAGTGACCGCACCCAAAGCGGGTGACGTGGGCACACTGGAACTGTGCTCTATACCCATCTGGCTTCAGTGTCCCAAAGTAAATCCAAGCCCCGTGGCACAACACGGCTTGCAGGAAAGGCGTGCTCAGGGCTGAACTGCACAGAACCACGGAGGATAGCCAAGTGCAACCCACACCATGCAGAGCTGGGATAGGTGCCCAGAGGTAATCCCAGGCATACCAGGGGCCACCCCAAACCAAGGGCAGCCTCAAACTGACAAGTGCGGAGCAGCCGCCATGCAGGAGCCCTGGCCCCACAGTGCACACGGGGTTCAAGCCACACAGCAAGGCCTGAAGCCACATACCAGTGCCTACGCGTTCGAGTGGACACTGCCTCAGCAGGCTCATGATCAAGTCTTGGGCATCAGCAGGAAGCGCCTCGTCTCCTTCAGGCCACATGATTTCATCTGAAACAGAAGAAAGCCTCACAAGGTGCCTCCTCCCATGAGAGCTAAGTGCATTCAGCTCCAGACAACCAGCAACTTCTTTGGAGGCACCAACACAATATAGGACACTAAACCCCTCCACCAGTGTCTTCTGCCCCTGTCCCACTCTCGCGAGCTACAAAGCGGGTGCTGCTCCAATGCCCAGTCTGAGCCGGGAGAGGTGCCCACTCACCACTGCAGGCACACGCTACTTGGTTAGTGCTTGCCAAGCCCTTCAGAGTTCTTGGATGAAAGAGGATTCAGAAGACTAAAGTCTTATTGATATTCAGACCCCAAAGGGCAAGGCTCAGGGGCTGAATGTGGCACAGAAGCAGAATATGCAGGAGCCCAGCAGCCAGGGACCCTGACCCGAATACCTAACCCCTATCCCAGAGCTGCTATGAGCCAAAGGAAGAGCAAGGCTTGAAATGGCAAAACCCCAAGAGCCCCCTCAGAGCCCACCCAAGAGTCACCAACATCACCGGAGACCTACCGCTGATCACCTGCCCGAAGAGCTCTTCCGGCGTGTCACCAAAGAAGGGGACACAGCCCACGAGGAACTCGTACAGGATGATACCCATCGCCCACCAGTCGACTGGCTTCCCATAGCCCTGCATTAAGATCACCTCTGGTGCGATGTACTCGGGTGTGCCACACACCTGTGTGTGAAGAAGCCAGCTTGACTCCTGTGCCACTCCACAGCCACCCTGGCTTGCAGGAGGGACGTGGGCAGCCCTCCCACCCTTTCCCAGAGGCCTGGGAAGTGCTTTAGACAATGCCCGCACTTGCTGGGGTCCTGACTGTACCTGCTTGTCCATGAACTCCCGAGTATCCTTTGTCATGTGTCCTTCGTACAAGTTTGTGGTCATGTTCATCAGCCCAATCTTGGACAGGCCAAAGTCTGTCAGCTTGATGTGACCCATCGACGTGATCAGCAAACTGCACAGATATGCACGAGTGACCTGCCTGGTTCATGTCTCCAGCACAAAGCAGGGAGAGGGGGAAGAGCCAGTGCTTCCAGCTCCAGGGGATGCAGCAGAGGCAGAAAGACACAGAAGCCAGGCCTTCTGGGAAGATGCCTGTGAGCCAGCATGTGCCGTCACTCGCCCTTTACCCATCCCACTGGTACCTTGCTAAACAGAGGCTGAGAAGCAGGGCCCAGCTCAGAAGCCTACAGTGAAAGGACTGGCTGCTTTCTGCTCTTGCCATGGGATTACTGAACCTGGAGCGGGGCCCATCCATCCCTCAGGGAAGCAGAGGGAACCCCTCTCCCTGCCCCCGCTTAGATCCAGCCACTTCTACCCCGGAGACCCCTGGGTCTGCCCCACCCCGTGTCCTTACTTGTCAGGCTTGAGGTCCCTGTGCACAATCCCATAGTTGTGGAGATACTCCAGGGCAAGGACAGTCTCAGCAAAGTACATCCTGGCCATGTCAACTGGCAGAGGGCCCATGTTCTTCAGCAGCGTGGCGCAGTCTCCCCCTGCGGGACACACAGACCCTCTGGGATCCACACATGACCACACATGAGACTCAGTGGGCGGAAGGAGGGTTTCCTGAAGCCTTTCCTCACCGGGGAGTGAAGATTCCCCACACCAAGTCAGGCCAGAGGCCAGTGCACCCCACATCCTGCTTCAGGCAGCTACCACCTGATGCAGCATGGCAGCACCCCAACGTGGGGCTCTGAGCTCCATGGAGTCCCCATATCCTTTGGCCTGAGGGTAAGAGGGGTCAGCATCTGGGAACACCTCAGCTGCCCTGTGGTGACTGCCCTATGCCCTTAACTATGCAGGAAGTGAAAGCTAAACTGGGCCAATTTATGTTTCATTTGATGCTCTGCTCCTGCGCACGCACTCAGTCCCCTCAGGGGCAGCACAAGACCCTTGTGCCTCTGCTCGACACAGGAAAGAAGTTGACTGGGCAGGGGAAGTCCTGAGTTCCTCACCCTGCTGCCTGCTCGCAGGGACAGAGCAGGCAGGGGAGTGCAGGGCAGGGGCGTGTGCACTCTGGCAGGGCACAGGACACTTGGTGCCAAGGGTTCATTGCCCAAAGGCGTCATTGGCCTGCCTGGACAACAACCCCGACACCGGGGAGCCCTCCATTCCCCTGCATGAAGACAGCAGGGAGGTTTTACATCTGCTTTAAGAGCTGCAGCTTCAGCACTCACCTTCCACATACTCCATCACCATGCACAGGTGCCTCCTGGTCTCAAAGGAACAAAACATGCTGACCACGAAGGGGTTCTCGGCAAAAGTCAGGATGTCCCGCTCCACAAACACCTGCTGGATCTGGTTCCGCAGAACAAGGTTCTGCTTGTTAATTTTCTTTATGGCAAAGCGCTGGCGGGTCTCTTTGTGCCTCACCAGATACACCGCCCTGCACGGGAGAAAGACAGACAACGGCTCCCTGAGCAGCAGCCTTCGGCACCTGCCAGCACCGCGAGGGCACTGCAGGATTCAGACAGAGCCCTGTGGCCACTGTCACATGCATACATCCAGAACAGCTGGGCGGTCTACTCCAAAATGCATTCCTACAAGCAGCCCCGATCTGCCATCCAGAGCACATGCTCAGGACTCCAAGTCTTCCGCCCCCGGCTTTCTAAGCATTTGCTGCTAACCAACCATGCACAGTGCTCTCCGTGGCATCATCTACAGTTGGGTCAAGTAAAATGGGCATTTCCAAGCATGCTGCCAGCAAGGCCCGTCTTACTAAGCAACATCACTGCAGCGAGGTGGGAGCTGCTACCTGGGCAGTAAGCCAGCGTGGACCTGGAGGAACTGGTGGGCAGGCACTAGAACGCCACACTGAAGGCAAGAGCTTAGGCTCACCAATTCTAGCGGAAAGTCTCTACCCTGACTGGCCAAGCGACGCCAGAAGCAGCTGCAAGGAACCAGAAGCACTGGGCCTGCTGCTCCTCTCTACTCTCTGACATTTGTGCTTTCTTAAAGGAGACAGCAAGACTGTTCAGGTCCTGTATTTGAAAACAGCAGCCAGTGTCTGCTGTCAGGACTGGGGACTGCTCAATGCAGCCTCCAGTGCCCAGGCATGCTGGCTCCCAAGCATCCTGTGTGGAAGCAGTAGCCTCCCACAACTCACCCATAGGCCCCGTTGCTGATCAGCTTGATGGTCTCAAAGTCGCTCTCGCATGGTTTCCTTCGATAAGTGGCAGCTGAAGCCCGGCTCTGAGTGAGTCACAGACAGACAGACACAGAGGGATATATCCGGCCTTCTGCAATCCTGGAACTGTTACAGATCACTATACACATGTTCCCTGATTCACCATCCCTGTGACTGTCCAGTGCACCCCCCACACCCAGGGAAGCTGTCTCACCAGACGACAGTCCTGCCATCGGATGCTCGCTAGACCCACTTGCTGGAGTGGTGCCATCTCGCACCATCATGGGAAACTACCCAACCAGGAACCCACTACACCACGCAGGCAATGAACTGCAAGCCAAATCCGGCCTCCTGCCATGCCTATTCCACATGCCCAGGTGCCATTTTGAGGGCGTGAGCACGGGACTGGGCATCTACACGATGTCTACCATCAAAAATGCCTGAAAACCCACACAGCTTCATCAGTCCTTTATGGATGGGGGAGCTCAAACGCTAATCTTCCTGGGGTACGGCGATGCCGGAAGGCCATTTGCATACAGGATGCTAGACGTTAACGTTGTACACAGTACATGCAAAAGCAGGAAGGTCCGAGCAGGGACAGCAAATGCTGACTCTGCTGGCCGTACTCACCTCGGGGGGGTCATCTGCTTCTGGAGCAACAGTATTCCCACCATCCAACTGATCCAGCTGAACCATCTCTACGGGGGGAAAAACAGCTGTCAGCCATCTGATAGCACTGCTGGCACACTGCTGCGGTTCGAGACAGCATGGGAATGACATCTGTCCAGCTGGATTCCAGGGGCTCCAGCTAAGACCTGCCACTGGAAAACTCTGGGTCATGGCATCCCAGGGTCAGAACTACAACATCACTACGTCACTACCACACTGGAGAGTTGAACTTGTATATAACTCTATCTGTTCCACAGCCCTCTCTGTGCTCTCTCTGTGGATTAAGATTCCCTTGAGCTTTGACTTCTCATGGATTAAGTGTTCTTGAAAGTAATCTACTTTACTTCCGTTGAGTGAGCACTAATGAAAATGGAGCGAGGGTCTGGCCAGGAAAGTCTGGGACACAGGCCTGGAACCTGCACCACGCCACCACCGCCTGCTGAGCCTTGCTGCCTTTGGTGGCTGATACATCCAACTTCATCTCCGTGCAGAGCGATCTGATACCACCTGCTTTTCAGGCATAGGGGATTGAGCATCCTCACAGGAACACAATCTGTCACCACCAGCCAAAGTGACTGCTGCCTTTCACTCCGAGAGGGCTCCCACTTGGCCTCTGAAGCAGCCAGTGGAGGGGTTTGCATCTGATGCATATATATTGGCTAAGGGGATGACACCCAAGTGGGGAGACAGCAAAACTGTTATGGCTGTACCAGACACTGGCCATGCAATGCCTGGAAGGAGGTTAGGAGGCCTAGGCTCACTTCAGGACACACCTGCCCTCTGCTGTGAGCAGGATGGGTGGGAGGGGGCAGGACACGGCACACACCACATACTAGCCCTTTTGCCTACCCGGCTGGCAGCTTGCACAGGAGCTTTGCGCAGACCTGCAAGCTCGGCGTCACCGTAAACATGCATCTCAGCCGACTTACCAGCAGCAGTGCTGGCTGGACAAGCCGTCTGTTTGTCTTGACAGCACCAGCTCCACCACCATCCTGCGCCACCACATTCACCCCAGCCTCAAGAGGCCACCCCAGGGAGAGCACAACGCTCCCAGGGAGACTCCAGCCCCCTCAAGACAGTAGCAAGGCTGCCCCCAGCATCAGCAGCACTGATGTGGCAGGATGTGGGCAGCTGTTTGTCTGGGAATGGGACACTTTCCTGGACAGGGCGACGTCTACCCAATAACCACAGCCTGGGGGCAAGCAGTGCTGCATCCTGTTCCCAGCTTGAGCACTGCACGTTTCCCTACCCTCCAGGGGGTCCTTAGCGAGCCCCAGTTGGCTGATGATGTAGCGTGGGATGTCTGTCTTTATCCCCTGCCCAACTTTGGCATGGCCTTCCGCGGCTTCCAGCAGGTGATAGAACTCCTCGGGATCGAACTCCTGCACAGTGAAGAGCACGCGCAGTCAGTACAGGACTCTGCCTTAACGTCCGTCCTCCCCTGCCGCACTCCGGGCATCCCCGTGCCTGAAGGCATGAATGTCTTTGAACGGGGCTAGAGCAAGTACTGATCTGAGCCGGCCCACTTCTGCTCTGGCATTTTGCGACACAGCACAGACTGGTTGGTGTTTCTGCTTCCGGCATAAACCCTCCAGGCACACAAGCCTGGATAAAGATTTCATCTTGTGCCCTGGAGTTTGAGGGCATTTTTCAGAGGACAGCCTGGCTCTGTGCCTAGGCAGTGTTATTCCTTCCAGCTGTGGGATATGCTAAAACAAATCTCCAGTTAGACCCCGCAAGAGAGATTTGAAGATTTAACGAAGGTCCAGTTGCAGGGTTTCAAACCAGATTAATCCCTGAAGCAGAATGTTTGGGAAGTTCAGTATAGGATAAAAGCTAGAGCAGGGCATGAGAAGCAGCAAAGCAGATTAAGCATCCCTCCCAGCCCTGCGTCCCTCTTCATTAATAATTCTGAATGTCTGTACTGGCTTCAGCTGATCTCTCCAGACCAACCAAGTTATATAACCACTAGCCTGACACCCACCTCCAGTGAGTGGGCCCAAGGGAACGGCCCTGTTCCATCCGGACATCCCACTGGGATTGAGCTGGACCTTCTACAGGGCAGACGGCGTGCACAGGAGCTGCTCTGTGCATGAAAATGCAGGGGACGCCTCTGCTGGGGACTCAGATTTTCTCCCTGACCACTGAGCCCAGCCCGCACAACACAGAGGCCAGAGCTGAGCGCATGCACTCTGACTGCAGCGAAGCCGTGAGTATCTCTTACCAAGCACTCTAGAAGGCGGGCCGGTCGAGATATTATTATCAGCAGCTTCCTCACCAGCTGGTCTACAAACCTCACTTCCTCACTCTCTGAACGCTCCTGGGCCTGTAGAAGGGGAGACAAAAGCTGCAAGGTCACCACAGAGCCGGCAGGCCGCAGGGAGCCAGAAAGGGGGTGCGGGCCAGATGCTTACGTCTCGCAGCATCTTCTCCAGCTTTTCCTGCAGTTCCATGAAGTAGCGCGAGGTGATGAGGGCTCCCTGGGACTTAGCCAAGCAGTCTCGGGCCAACTCAATGATCTGATGGTGGATGAACCCCAGCACTCCATCAGCAAGGGGCAAGGTGCTG